AAGAACTAAGACACGCCAACAAGAATATCGGTGGAAGAGAGAACAGAAGAGAGGAGAACAGGGCAGAGCTGAGAGTAGAAGGAACCAGCAGAGCTAAGAACTAAGACGCGAACAAGAATATCGGTGGAAGAGAGAACAGAAGAGAGGAGAACAGAGCAGAGCTAAGAGCAGAAGGAACCAGCAGAGCTAAGAACTAAGACACGCCAACAAGAATATCGGTGGAAGAGAGAGAGGAAGAGAGGAGAACAGAGCAGAGTTGAGAGCAGAAGAAACCAGCAGAGCTGAGAACTAAGACACGCCAACAAGAATATCGGTGGAAGAGAGAGAGGAAGAGAGGAGAACAGAGCAGAGTTGAGAGCAGAAGAAACCAGCAGAGCTGAGAACTAAGACACGCCAACAAGAATATCGGTGGAAGAGCGAATAGCGGTTAAAGACAAGAATAGCTGAGTGAAGACGGAACGCGACACACGACGGACTAGTCAGGTTGCATCGCATGGAAGGCACTATTTTTGTGTGATTGTAATTGTAAACAACTTATCCAATAAACAGTTTCACCGAATCCAGAACCCATTAATTTCTTGTCGTGTCACCAGGATACGTGACAGTATGTAGACATAGATAGGATGTTAATGGAGAAACTGTCTTAAACAGAATTTGTCTATAATAAATTAGTGTATTTCGGGCTATGACCCAGTGGTGAAATCCTTGGCGGTCATTTTCTTGACAAAATGAGCGACTGTCAGCTTCCGAAGATGGGATTTTTTTCCATGGGATTTGATTATAGGCTAACGTAATGGCAGTGGCATCTCGCGGAATCTTGTATCATGACTGGAGTTTCAAGTCAAGGTAAAGGACAGTGATTACGTAAATACAGGCAGTGCGTATAGGAGATGGCAGATTTCGCTTGAATTTCTCCTCTGGCGTTCCCATCGCTTGGAGGAGGGGAAGGGAGAGCGCATGTTATTCCTACCCAGACCCGGAAAAGACGACAAAAATCTTTGCCGGCTGCCAACACCGGACACTTCTTACAATGAACTTCGACTAAGTGACTAAGTGGAACATCAGGTAAGTAAGACGTCGGCTAAACTGTACAGTTTATCAGGAACAATAACAAGAATTCGTGTAGATGTTGGCTCTATATTCTGGCATATGAAGTATTAT